GATTGTAAGTGCACTTCTCACTCGGATATTTCCTAAAACCAGACTTTATTCATTCTCTACATTTGATAAACCATTGAATGTCAGCTGAATAAGTATTATTCATTCTTTAATTCCCAGCTGACTTCAAGGATTTCAATCCTTTTCCAACCTGCTTCACCATCTTGCAGTTGTTCTATCACTCTTTTTTTTTTAACAAACAAAATACTTAAAAGAAAACAACACCAAAAAAATATAGAAAATAAAATGTTAGCTTTTAATTTCAAAGTTCAAAAACAAAAAATAAAATTTCGAATAAAATGAAGTGTCTATATATCTTATTAAGTTCAAGGTTTTATTCAATGTGTTTTCAGTCCAAGAAATATTTATTCTTTGTTTATTAAGGTTGAATTTCGGGCTTCAATTTCTTGTTATTTTATTTATAAAAAAACTAAAGCTGCAAAGAAGAGAGTCGAGTTTGGAAGGGAATTGAAATCCTAAAATTGTGTTGGATTTAAAAATCTTGTTGTCCTAGTTACACTTTTGGTTAGATTAAAATAATAATTGAATGAAAAATGTATTTAGCCTAATTTTTGGAAGAAAACTGAATAGAAATTAGAGTTAAATTCTAAAATCGAAATCTTGTGAAAATGAATCAATGAAATTCTTGTTCAATGTAGAATTCCATTTGATTTAGGACTAAGTCCCAATTTAAATGCCCATAATCAAGCACAAAAATCACAATCATCAATCAATAGCAATTGATAAAAAATATATATATATTTATATATATATTTTCAAAAGTATAGTTTTTGGCAATGAAAATTTGTTTTAGAATTAGGATTCTTTTAGAGTTTTTTTAGGTTTTTTAAAGATTTTTGGCTTTGGGTAGAAATGGATTTTGAATTCTTGTGGAAGCTTTGGATTGAATAAAAAGGATTTAGGGAATCTGTTTTTTTTTTTTTTTTGAATTTACGAAAAAGTGTTTAAATTTTTTGGCAAACTTGAGGTTTCCTTTAAAGTTTTCGACAGGTATTTGAAGGTTCCAACGCTAGTAACTAGGCTTTTAGAGAGAGGTAGAGAGTATTTGAGATTTAAGGAGATAAGGAAGAGAAGAAAAATGAAGGAAAAAAATGCCTTTTGACTTTAATAACCCTGAGAAGCAACAATGTTTCTTTCTAAGGAAATTTTGAAGATTCGTCTCGTAACTTGTCAAGGGTCCACAGGTTTACCAATCTTTCGACTTGTTTGACATGTTTTTTTTTTTTTTTATTTTTTATTTGTTGTTTTTATTTTTGATTATTTATCTTTAATTAATTTTGTTTTTTAATTTATTTGCTTTAATGTTTAAGTGTTTTAAATATTTGTTTATTTAATTTGTAAAATTAAAAATAATAGATATGTAAATAAATTAAATAATTTTATAATGTGACTTTAAAGGAATAATCATGATTTAGGAATAATAAAAATTTGATTGATGATGAAATTTTAAAGAAGTTACTTGTATACAATTTTTTTTTTGAAAATTTCTTAGTGAGTGAATTTTTAAAAATTCAATGAGATGTTGAAAAATTTAGAAATGGTCTCGATATAAAATTTTTTTATTTATTTCTAATTTAAAATAAAAATTAAAGATTAATGAATAAATTGTGATTATATGTGTTATTTAACTTTTTTTTTCATAAAAGGATTAATGAATAAGATTATGCTTATCTAAGATTATATGTTGTGAACTTTGTGTGTATTTATTTTCATTTAATTTTCATAAAATATTTAATATATCTAATGACAAAGCCTCTTAACAAAAATAGACCTATTACTTTAATACTCTTTAAGTAAGAAAAATTCTCTAAGATTACAATCAAAGCTATGGAAAAAATATAAAGGACCTATTTCTAATATATAAGTATCAAAATTAATAAATATAATAAAATAAAATAAGTTAGGAATAACAGACCATTTTAATTAAGTTAAAAAAAGATAATTTAAAATTAGTTGATACCATTTTAGGATGTACATTATATGGGTACTATAATCTTTATCTTTCTTATATGTGATTGAACTTTTAAATATAATTATATTAGTAGATTAGAATCAATTTTTTTATAAACTTTTAGTCAAGTTTAAGATATCCGTAGAGAAGATATATTTTATTTAGATAATAATCACATCTAAACAAAAAAAAAAAAAACAATGATGACTTTATGATTTTTATAACCAATGATCGAGTTGACAAACTTAAATCTTATGAGACCTATGTATATAATATGATACTAGTACAAATTTTAATTACAATGAGTATACAAAATATATAGCCTAAAGCTAAAGTCTAAAAATGTAATAAAATTGTGGAAATTATTGATTGATAAAAGGAAAGGAATTCCTTAACTTTTAAAGGATACCTTATATATATATTTTAAAGTCCAAGTAAGTGTTGATAACAAAAATAATTTGAAGGTTAATTTAAAAAATATCATTATTTGTTATAGGAAATGAGCTGAAAGTGAAATCAGATTTCATGATTTTATTTGCGTTAAAAACTTAAACCTAATAAACATTTTGTTTCATCATATTTTGGAGAAAAAAAATCATTCTCTAACTTTAAATATTGCCCTAATAAATAAATAAATATATAAATACATTATATATAATAATAAACTAATAAATTTAAATATAATAAATGATTAGATTTTAAAACTAATATTTGCATATCTATACATCTATACATTAAATAAAACCAATCCCCAACCTCAATTGTATTGTATAACTCATCATTGTAAAAAAAAAAAAAAAGATTTGAAGGATATTTTGGAAATATGCAAAAGGTAATTTTATATAATCTTATATAAATATATAAAAGCCAAAGCTTTTAGCATAAAAGAAAATAATCCTATCCTATGTAGATAAGTTACATTTTTTACATGTGGAATGTCATATTTAAATGATGTGTGTTATATAATTAATGAATTTGATTATATAATTAATTTAAAAATAATTTATTATGGCTAAATTAACTATATTTAACTACCAATATTCTTGCCTCCTATAAATTAGTTATAATTAATTTGATCATTAATTCAAAAAATAAAAATTTAAATAGAAAGCTAATTAATTATGAATAGTTTTGCATATTTACTAATCTTTATTAATGATTATATAAACATATTAATTTAATAGAATAATCTAATATATATATATATAAATTAGTTATAATATATATATATATATATAAATATATAAACAGACATACACACACACAAAAAAGATAACTTCAATATATTAACTTGAAAAAAAAAAAAAAAGTCTATGTATGTAGGATAATTTTTTATACATGAACAATGTCAAATGATGTCATGTGTTTTGATCATAATCAACAATTCAAATTTCAACATTAAAATTACAAACTAATTTAATTTTTAATATTTTTTCAATTATCATCCAAAAAATATTGTGACCTATTCAATGGCTTTAATTTTATTTGTTTTAACTTTAAGTATGAATATTTCTTTCGATTTTTTTTGCAATAAAAGTCTTATTGACCATAACTTTAATTTTGTTTCGAATTCTTTAAAATTTTTTATACTTACATTATTTTAATTTTGAGTGTTTGATTACGAAAATAAAAAGAACTAATATGTCAAATTATATTATTTAAAATTTAAACTCTATAATAATATGTAATTGATTGATATCTCAATTCTTGAGATTCACATTTATGAGTTTGTATGTTATCTATATATATAATAGTAATATGATAAAGTTGACACATACAATAATTGTTGTCAAAAAATTTTCATTTGTATTATTCTATTCTTTTTTACCCTTGATACATTGTTTAAATAGTGGTATGACTTTTTGATATTTTATACAAACTTTCAACATTTTATAATAAGCTCTAAAGGGATGTTGTAAGATTATAACTCTGTGAGTATTATTATTTTTTTTTTTGTGATATGTTCTTTTATTTTTTTTATTTAGTATTATATTTTTATAAATATATTTTCCTTGATTATTCAAGTTAGAATTATTAGATTAATCTTAATTATGATTATTTGATTTTTTCTTTTTATTTCAGTTTAATTTTAGTGTTCTTAAATATTTTACTATGAAAAATAATTGATAATTAATTTTTTCTTTTCAATTTTATAGTTGCAAGGTTTTCATATTAAAACAAAAAATTATAATGTTAAAAAAGAATGTGAATGATGATAAATTCTTTTTATCAAAAGTTTAATTTTTTTATAGACCCTTTGAATGATTTTTTTTATTTATTATTAATATTTGGCACTTATATGTTTCTATCTCTTTGATAAATTCATTATTCAATTTGTCAAAACAAATGATTAAAAGTCTATTTTTCTCATTTTTTTATTTGATTATTAAGTATTTCATTTGTAATGAGTAGTGAAAGAGACTATTCTTTACTTATTTTTATTTACAATTTTATTTTTTATTTTTATATGATTCCACAAAAAGTTTAATCAATTTGATATTATTTAAACTTATATTGGGTTTTCAACTCAAAATTCATGCATATATAATAAATCTTTGATTCTTTCTTTTTCACAATAATAGTAAATCTTTGGTTTTTTTTTCTCAAACTTACATAATAAATCTTTGGTTCTTCATATACGTCAATATATAATTTTTTTTTCTATAAACATATCTTACAAAATTCTAAATTATTAAAATTTTGAGTTCAATAGCAATATAATTTTTTTAATGATATGATTTTATGACTAATATATGTTTATTCAAATTAATAAAAAGACATAATTATTAAAAAGAATTATGCATTTTCTTTAATCGATTTAAAAAGTAAGTGAAATCACTCTGAAATTTTAAATTAATTAAAATAAATTTGATCACACTAATAAAAAAATATTTAATTTAAATATTTAATTTAATTTTTCAATTACACGTAGTATTCATATGATAATGAGTTTTTTTTAGATATTATTTAGATGTATACATATATAAATTCTATTTTTTTATTAAAAATAATAATTTTATGTGTAATTATATAAAAATATCCCTTGTACAACACTGACCAGTTTTCATTTGTTTTAGGGTTACTTAGTAACCTTTTTCTTCTCTTTGCAGATGGATCGTGAACAGCAATTGAATGAGTTGGAGATGCGTAGCAAAACCTCATTGGCTTACCCCCTCGAAGTAAAACAAAAAATCGCTTTTACGCTTTAATTTGTGAGTTATTTTAGAAATTTCAGTGTTCTTTTTATTGCTTAATGTTAATGCTTCATTGGAATTTTTTTGGGATTAAATTAAATTTGAAGATTAAGAAATTTTTTTCTTTGAGAAGTATTTAGTTTTATGATTTTGTTGATGGGTATTGCTGGAATTGAGAAGATAATTGAAATCGAAGCAATGCATCAGAATTATGGAGATTTGATGAAACTTAGATAGGAGGAAAGTTTTAAAGTGTGCATCTTCTGATCAATCCTCAACCTTTCATGTTGCAGTTGCTAGAAACAGGTTAAGCTTATCCATGTTGTTTGTACTTAAGGATTTCAAGGCAAATCAGATTTGTCTTTAATCTGGATTCAAGGGTTGATTTTGGAAGATAACTTTATATGTGGGGTTAGTTATGGTAGAAATATAGGTATATTTAGTTTAAAAAGTCTCTTACGAATGGTTTTTATTCCTGCTTTTATGCTTTCATTTTTTCAGGTTTCCTTTCCTTTTTTGTTTTTCATTTTTTACAACTTCCCTTTCTTTCTGTTGTGGCGTTTTTGTGATTGTTGTTTCTATCTTTTTTGAGGTTAATCTATAATTGTAGTTTTTTCCTTTTCCTAATTGTTGTTCGGTTTCTCTAATTGTTGTTAAGGTTTGAAACGGTAGAATTTTTAATTTTTGTGTTTTGTGCGAGTTTGTTTCGTTTGGTTTTGAGAATGCTGTATTGCTACCAGAGTCTCCTAGTACAAGTTCATTGATGGCTGCAAGAGATGACATAGGGGAAACCCCAAAAGCCTCCGAGGAAGACAAGCCAAGAGGTTTCTTTTTTAGCTTTAAATAGTGTTATAGATCCCTTGAAGGCGCGATTTTGTTCTTAAGGGTATCACAAATTAATTTTTAGTGGAGTTTAATAAGGTAATTAGTCTCAAATATTAGAAAGAATACAAGCTTGGTAAGAAAAAAATTGTTAAATCTAATCAGAAAATTGGTTTAGTTCTGTTATATGACAGAAAACTTTCTGCTATCTGATGGATTAATCTGATGTATTTGTTAACTTTGCATACTGCTTTAGTGCTTTACATTAATTTTAGTATGCTCTGACTGAGATGGATCCAGAGCTGTTCGGTGTAGGAGTTGCTGTGATGGAAATATGAATGTAAATACTAAATAAGGTGCATCCAAAAGCCTTTGCTTCTGTTTTCTTTTCTATAATGCATGAGTTTGTTGGAGCAGGATTGTTGAAAATTTTGCCATGTGCTTGAGCCCTCCACCAGTTTTGAAAGGAGTGTAACAACATTACAGGTACATAAATAACAAACTTATATAGTAATAATTAATTGATTTTTGTGGGCAATGTTCAGTTGGTGGGAAGGAATCAACTTTCTTTCTCTGGGAATTCTATTTTCTTTTCTTTTTTGTTTTCAATAGTTTTTCAGTAAAATCTCAAAAAAGAGTGTAAATATTGAAGTTTTTTTAAGCTAAAACTGATATCGAACCCACCAGAAAACTATTAGTAAGAAGCAAACCATGCATCATTTTTCTTTCAATGGAACACACTTGAATAACGAGAATTCTATACTCGAGAGCTTGAGTTTGGGTATGAAGCATAACCCTGGTATTTTCTTGGATGGGACCTTAAAAGAACAAGCTGAACTCAAAGACGAGTTAAAAAAGTGAAGTCTTTTTTGAAGTTTTGATAGGGATTTATACTCTTTGATTTTGAATTCAACTTTTTACTGTATATTTTTTGTGAATTTAAAGAATGATAGAAATTCAACTCTTGATTGTTTATTTTTTGTGAATTTAAAGATTGATACCCTTGTGCATTCAATTGGGATGAACAAGGGGGGCTGATCGATTGTTTTGGATGCCAAAACCAGAGCTCTATCTCAAGAGCTGGCACATTACAACAATGTTTTTTTCAAAAAATTTCATCATAAAAGAGGTAAATAAAACCCTAAGACCACAATAAAGTAAAGAGCTTACTTATATCATAGAAGTTTTCATAGCTATGGAAAATTTAAGGTTTTGGTTTAACTTGAATAAAATAATTGGGAATTTTGATCTTTCAAGTTTTCATTTTTTTTGGCCTATAAGGAGCAAAAAATGGTTTTATTTATTGTAGGTTAAATGAAACAAATGACAGGAATTTGAGCTATTAAGAGTTTGATCATTTTATTTGATTTTGGTAACATAGTTTGATAATTTGTTTTAAAAGCTTTTGTGTGTTGTGAAGATGTATCTATAGATGGGAAAAAGTAGCTGCCCAAGTCGAGGATGGACCCTGTGTCACTTACATTGGCGAAGGAAGATAAGGTAATTTCGTTAAAATAGTTCATAATGGAATTAAAATGGTGATATACAGTTAATTTCTAAAGCTTATGATGTTCTCAAACATGTTGGGGGACATTCGAATGATGAAGTGGCGGAGATTTTCGCAAAATGGAACAGGGGAGAGCTTGAAAGTTTCTTAATTGAGATAACATCTGATATTTTTAGAGTTAAGGACGAGTTGGGTGATGGGTATTTGGTGGATAAGATTTTGGATAAGACTGGAATGAAGGGGCAGTAAGCTGCTGGGTCGTCTGTTGCTACTCCAACGATCGCAGCTTCATTAGATTGTAGGTATTTGAAACCAAGCTAGCCAAATTGGGTTGCATCAAGAAGGCTTACCAGAGGAATCCCAATTTGGTTCGCTTGATTGTGGACCCGAGTTTGTTAGGGAGATGGTTCAAAGGCAAACAACTTGGAAAAGAATTGTGGGATTGACTATCTCTGTTGGATCAGCATATAAAAATGCAAGTAAACTCCTCGTTGTGTAACACGGGTCTAAGTTCTAGTATGTATTAAACGTGTCCAAAACAGTCAATTTCTCATGAATGAAGTTGATAACTGAAAGCCATTTGTCCACTTTTATTGTTCGTGACCTTATTTAAAACTAATTGAATGACAGCTGGTAGATGGCTAAATGGATTAAAATGAAACTATTTTGTCCCATTTTTTTCTCCATTTTCCTTCTTCTCTTCTCTTACATATCCTAAATTTCTTTTCCCTGCCAGCAGCCGCCAATTTCACAGAAAGACTCAATTCTATACAATCTAAATTATCTACATTACTCTGTAAACACAAAGTAAAATTGCACTGAAATAAAAAGGAAATTTCAGATAAAGACTCAATCCGAGTTCCCAGACAATCCAAACCATCCACATTACTCTATAAACACTAAATCGAACCCAATTCGATTCGACTCCCCCGACAAAGGACTCTAACGATGGTTAACACGAATCAAATTCGATCAACAATAGGCTTAGTCGATCGAATCCTCACGGAATTTCACATAAACTCTTTTGAGATTGTACATTACCAAATTCTATACCCTACTCTTTGTTTCTTCATCTTTTCACCCTCCTTATCATTATCAAAGACTTCATCAGAAACTCTTTGAGATTCAATTTTCAAAAAAAAAAAAAAAAAATGAATACTAAACTGATAAAGAGTACAGACATCACTTACCGGTAAAGGCTTCACTTCTTCTTCAACTACAGCCTCACTTTCTTCTGGAAGTAATTCAACAAAGTATGACACGAGATCGTGGGTAGCAAAACTTTGTTGTTGGTGTGGGCAGGCTGTAGCCTGTGAAAGATTATGGTTTGTTAAGGAACGAGTGTTTCAACATTTGGTCGGGGAATTATCAGTCATCAGGTTACAGTTAGAAAATTCAGCTATTTCAGTAGGGGAAGAAGTGCTTTTGAAATATGCCGGTTGGTTTAGATGGCCATAGGTTCATCAAGAAGGGTTTAAACGGTAAACATGGTGTTATTTGGGAGGGGTTTTGAACAAAAGTCAGACCTGTTATCCAACGGTGACTGAGAATGACACATGGCAGAGGGACAATGGAGAGCTTTCTGTTGTAACTGACAATCACGTGTGTCCATTCTAACTGCCTCCTCACACAATCTGTTATCAGTAAAACAGAGATCAAATAATCTCTCATGCCCACACTTTACTTTTCCCATATCGCGGCACCTAAAACCCTTCCAACAGAGGTTTTGGAACATCAATGGCTACCAATGCCATCGTTCCAATCAGGGCTCTCAACTTTACCAAGTCTCCCAGTACCGCCCCAATCTTCTCAGCATTCTGTTGAGTAACTCTAACTGCAAATTGTGAACTTGGATCCAATAGTCAATCTTAGTAAACCATATCTCCTGAACAGTGTTTCTACCGTCCAGCGCTGAAGAGTTGGGCAGTATCCCATTACTTACCATGGCTCCTTCTCCAAAACTTGCAACATCACCTCCTTTTGAGCAAAATTGATCCCAGACACGTTAGATCCAAGCTCTTGAATCATTGGTGCCTCCTTCTGCGACCATATACTCCTTAGCTCGCTTAAAACCCCTCTTCAATTCAGGGGTTTATCTGCAATAATCTTTCCAAGTTCCAACCAAAGTATTCTTCACGACTTCCCCAATTTCAACTCCACCGTCCTTCGGTACAATCTCATTTCCTCCATCATTAATCACACAGAGAAGAATGAAACCAGTTTAAGAATGACCGTAAATCCAGAACCAATAGATGAACAATGAATTAAAGTGTTTAGCTTATGTAACCCTATCAATGTAAGGCACTGAGACCCTAATCAAACATGTCTTAAAGTTCTAGACCTAAAGAAAACATGAAAATCAAAAGTAAAGAAGAAAAACAAGAAGAAAATTGAATGATTCCAACAAATCACAACTAAAAGTATAGAAATCCTAAAGGGACGAGACGAATGGAAAGAGGAAAGCAAGAGGGAAAAGAAACAAAAAAGGACACTCTGAGAAAATCCCAAAAAAAGACTCACTTTAGAGAGAGGAGCCCTTGGTTTAGGGAGAGAAAAAGAAAGTTAAATCTATAGTTCAGTAATAGGTAACTGAATATACGAAATGATAATGAAACGGAAAAGCAAAACCCCAAATTGACAGAAAAAGAAAAGGAAAGGTCCTAAATTGAAAAGGAAAAAGCTTAAAATTTTGACTTTTTTTCTGTATCAAACTGTATGCATGTTAGCTGCTCTTTGCAGCCAGTTAAAGTTACCTTGGCTTTGCCTTTTCTTTTAGATTTTGAATTGTAATTTTTGAACAATTAAAGATTGATAGGGGAGGAGAGAAATAGCAAAAGCAACTGACTAGGAGAAATTAATGGGGTCAAATTAAAGCTTACTAATGTCAGCAGGGTTAGGATGCTAACTCAAACAGGGAAAAGCTACCAATGTCAGCCACATAATAAAGGCCTCCGATTTTAATTGGATAACAGGGTAAATCTCCATTTAAATTTCAATTTGCTGAGGTTTTAACTTGGTAGCAAAGAGCCAAAGACCAAAACCATGTCTAATTGCAAAACCAGCCACTTTATCCACAATGTTAAGCAGCATAGGCAGGCCAGCAGAAAGGTTAGTTGATTCCACTAGCAAAATACTAAATTAAAACAAAACAAGAAGAAATTATAGGACCAGAAGGAGGCTAATAATCAATTATGCCAAACTCAAAATGTTTTGCTCGTAATTGGTGACTATGACAGCATTAGAAGAATAATCAAGAGGCCTATATTCCGGGAGTCCAGACAATGCAATCCTTCTCAATCTCCTCCTTTCTACATCATAGATATACACGCAAAAGTGCTTCAACAAAGTGCGTGGTGCCAGTAAAATCTCACCTGTATGAATGGTGCCAACAATCAAAAAGTTTTGGTAGCCTTCAATTTCTTTCCAAGATGCAGGATAGACGATTGTATGACCAATCCATTCATTCATAAGATGATCTTCTAGCAGCCAAATATTCATTGAATTGGACGGAGAATCAAATTGAGTATCAACAAGGGCCAAGCGCCCCCCAAATTGTATTAAATCACTTCTCCAATTGAATACACCTTCTGGAAGTGGAATCTCATGAAATTTCTCTGTGTGGACATCAAATGCGAAAAGAACTGAAGCGTAATGGCACTTGAAATATATAATTCCATGAATGCAAACGCTTTCTCTCTTAGGGAAGAACGAGGGTCCATCACCAAGCAGTCTCCAATGGTTGTTTGTCTCCAATGTCAAGACCCTGTACTCAGTACCCTTTCCAGAAACGGCCCAAGAGTTCAAGACCTTATAACAATCGGTGATCGGATCAAACCCAAATGAGTTCACGCAAAAGGAAGTAGAAGCAGCAGCGGGAGAGTTGGGAGGGCAAACAAATGGTAAATTAAAAGCCTCTCGAGTACTGGGGTTAAAGATGGTGGCACAAAGGCCAAAGTCCATGCAGATTAACCCATTAACTGAAGGGGTTGTGTAGCGGGAGAAACGAGGAGGGATGGTCCTCAGGTGAACTGCTGATGCTGACAGAGACCCTTCAAGAAGCTCTGCGGAGAAGAACATTTGAGCAGATTGAAGCTCGGTGGAGCAGCTGATGATAATAGTTGGTATTAACGGAACCTCGGATTTGATCCTGGAAAACAGAATTGCGTGCATTTTGGCAAAATCTTGGCTGGTTATAATGGAGGAGCAGCTCTTGGAAATGCACCTGAACCTTACCAAAGACTTAACAGGAAGACTTGTGAATATGTCGAAGATCACATCCATAGGAATCTGTTTCCTACTCTTCATGTTTCACTATCTTTGTCTTTGGAAACGATTGTGTTCAGATAAGCACCTGAATTACAGCCAAAACGAAAAGTCAAACCTAATCTACAGGGCTCAGTCTTTAGCATAAAATGAAAAGTTTTAATTCAGTAGATGAAAACATCAAAATCCCGAAGGAAAGTTGAAAATTTTTGAAGTAAAGGAGAAACCAACGTTTGCTTCCAAAGTTCACAGACAGACAAAAAAAAACCAATAAACCATCAAAGAAAAACCCGAAATAAGATAGTTTTTTCATGGCATTACCACAAAAGAGAAAGCTGATGATCATAAATCACAAGTCAACAGTATCGAAATTGAAAAAAAAAATCTCACAAAATTAATAAATTATCCGAGAAAGATAGAAAGGAGGAATAAACGTACCACAAACGCCAAAGAGAGAGAGAGTTTTCTCTTTTTTTTTTTTTTTGCCCTTTCTTGGTGTTTTGACTGGAAAATGTTTTTGCAAGTTGATCAATTTTCTGCAACGTCTCAGAAACACCCACGAACAGAATGGGTTAGTGAGGTGAACTCTGCCCAGTTCCCAATTTATCCTAGGTTTAGATTCTATTATTCCAATGCGAAAGAGTTTATGGTATTACTAATTGAATTTAAATATTAATTTTAATAAAATTTATTATATATATTATATTATTTTATTAAATTATACTTATAATTATAATAATTATTATTTTTAATCTCATCATTATTTCGAAAACATCAAAATCTCAAAAGAAAGTCGAAAATTTTTGAAGTAAAGGAGAAACCAATGTTTGCTTTCAAAGTTCACAGCAAGACCAAAAAAAAAAAAAAACCAATAAACCATCATAAAAAATTCGAAAATAAGATAATTTTTTCATTTGACATTATCACAAAGAAGAAAGCTGATAATCACAAATCAAAAGTCAAAATAATCAAAACTGACAATAAAAAGTCACAAAATCAATAAATTATTCGAGAAAGATAGAAAAGAGAACTAAGCGAACCAAAAATGCCAAGGAGAGAGAGAGAGTTTTTTTTTTTCTTCGATGTCTTGATTGGAAAATGTTTTCCAAGGTGATCAATTTTCTACAACGTCTCATAAACACTCAAACGAAATGAGGTGGTGAGCTGCAATTTTCTAAGTTCTTGGGATTTTATCATACTTTTGATATAATATGATTGAATTTATCATATTATTAATTAAATTTAAATATTAATTTTAATAAAATTTATTCAATATAAATTTTTTATTAAAATTTTTTAATTACAATAAATTTTTTAATCATAATTATAATAATAATAATAATTATTTTTAATTTCACTGTTTATTCAAATAAAATTTTATATTTAAAATTTTTTTACCATGAATTAAGGAAATTTTTGGTTAGTACAAGGTAAAATAAAGGTAATGAACGTGGTCATTTTTAACTATGTCTTTCCTGGACCCAAAACATTGGCATAACGGTTAATTATGTATTTGTATTATATAAAATAATAATAATTTATATATCTATATTATATTTTATATAAATTATATATCTAAATTTATGTTGATTTGAAAATACGAAATATATATTTTTTATTAAAATTATATGATTTTTATTAAAATTTTAAATTATATTATTTTAGTGTCTTTTTTATATTATTTTTATTTTATATTATAATATCATGTTTTAAATTATTAAATTTAAATTTATGATTTTATAAAAATCTTATAATTTTAAATAGATATGTTATACTATAAAAAAATATAAAAAAATATAAAATAATATGATGTGAAATTTTTTGTAAAGATTATATATAAATTTGATAAAAATTTAAAAAATATATTTTATATTTACATTATAGACAAGAATTTAATATAATAATATTTATATTTTATATGTATTTAATATAAATACAAAAATTATTAGAACTAATTTTTCATTAAAAAAGGAAATTGATTTTTGTTTTTAAAAAAATTGAGCAATTTATCGTTTGAGAACTAAGAAAGATATTTTTCAAATTCTCAAGAATATATTCATGAAAGGCATCAAACTTGTATTTGGATAAAAAAAAAATACCAGTAATAAAAGGGCACTGCTTTAGATTGACAAATAAAAGATATTTTCATCAATTTTGAAGTCATGAGTTGTTTACCTTTGAATGGTTGTTGGAAAAAAAAAAAAAAAAACAGATTTTGTGTGGTCAAAGAGATACGTGGATTGTGACTTTTAATTTATTTTTTAAAAATGAAAATGCTGATATGAGGGAAAGCAAAAATGAAAATGAATTTAGACATATCTAATGGTGGTAAGTTGACAGGTGTCACGTTTATTTGAAAATTACAACTTATTAGTTTGAATTTTGTGGGACAATTTTTATCTTCTAAATAATGTGTTTTCATCTATAAATGATTCATTTAATCGATTAAATTTATTTTTTTTGATAAAAAAATTTTAAATTTAAATATTATCAATGATTATTTATTGAAATTATTTCAAATGTATGACTTATAATTATTTATCTTAAATTATCAAATACAACACATTTTATTTTATCTTAAAAAACTAAATAATTTATCTACTTTCGAATTTATTTTTATAAAAAATAATAATAATGTATTTTCATCCCATGTAAGATAAGGTATGAATTCATCTTACTTTTTGTACTATGAGTTCAATTGTATTGTATTATTAATTAAATTTAAATACTAATTTTAATAAAATTTATTTATTTTTTATTAAAATTTTTTTCAATCTTAATTATAATAATATTTTTAATTACAATTATAATAATTTTATTATTATTTTTAATTTTATCGAAATTAATCTTATCATTTAATCAAATAAATTTTAAGTTACTTTCATAAATAGTAAGAGTAGCCCGTTATTAAAAAGTAAAATAAAAATATTATAAAATATTAAAATTGAAAATTATATACACTATTTAATATATTATATTTTTAATTAATTTTTTATATTATATTATGAGTGATTTATTTTTTATTAATAATTTGATCAAATTTGAATATATGATTTTTTAATTTATTGTAGATTATAAATTTTTTTGGTAAAATTATTTAAAACAAAAAAAAAAGAAAAATAGTAAGAAAAGTAACTTAATGTCTAATTTTTGTTTTTTTTTTTTATACTTATCATTATTATATTTTTAATATTTATTTTATTTTATTATAAATAATGAATGACAAAAAATTCAATACCCATAAAGATCACATCTAATTACAAACTCACATCATAAATGATAAAAACACAAAACTCATAAAAAAAAAAAAAAAACAGATTCAATTACAAATCAACATCAAACAAATACTCATATTTTGTTTTTCAAATTCAATTAAAGCGCAACCCTCAATATAAATATAATTGTAAAAAATTATAAATTTATTTGTTTAATTCATTTTTTTATTTTTTATATTGTCAATTGATTAAAATATGTTCTTTATATAAAAATTAAAATATGTATGTAAATAAAAAACAAATCAATAAGCAAATCAATAAATATAAATAAAAAAAGTAAAACTGAAAAAACAAAACAAAATAAAAATAAAAAATACCAAAGAAAAAATTTGATTGCCATGTAGCAGTCAATTGGCAATTTAACTAATAAGTTGACTATAAAAAAGAGGAAAGATCCGTTTATACTAATATAACTTCTTACATTTTTAAAATTTTTGGATCAAAATTACAAAATTAAAAAATATTAATTCAAATGAATCATAGATTTAATTTTAATCCAAATATACGAGTAAACATCCATTTATATATACGTATAACTCTTATACTTTTTTAAAATCTTTTAATCAAAATTATTAAATTAAAAAAATTATTTTAATTCAAATAACTCATAAATTTAATTTTTATCCAAAAAAAAAAAAAAAAAACCAAAAAACATCACTTACACTTGCTTCCCTCGAAAACACTAGACAAGGTGAAATTGCAAGGCTTGATGGGGCCGATAAATGTTACTGCTACTTCTGACTATGATAATAGTCATTAGTCAACAACGAGCACATTCCACATTGATGAAAATAGTCATAAATAGGAATATTTTACAGAGAGAAGGAAAATTTCGACACTATGAACACTGAGGAGAAAACTAAAGATACTTCATGATCATAATTAGAACAAAAGAATAAGCTTCATGGCTCATGGAATTTGACAAGAACCTCCAGGACACTAACTTGCAACCTCAAATTCAAGATGTAGTTGGCTGTATGAACCAAAAGCTGATCGAGGTGCAGGCCATGGCTGCCTGGCACAACTCTGTGGAGCTTCTGGACCTTCATTTGAACTGACCCGCTGCCCCATGGCCTTTGCCTCCTTCCCAGCTGCAATTTCTTTCTCCCATTGCAGCAGCATATATGTAAGCATGAATTCACCCCCATTGGCAGTTGACAGATAAGAGAAAGTCCAATAAACACAATGAAGTTTATGGTTGTATTTATGTAAAGGGGAGAAACAAATTCACGTGGGTTTAAAGAGAGTGGCCATGTGGGAGCGGGAATTTTGGTGGGATTTATTTGGAATTGTGGAGTGAAATTCCTGAGAAAAAGGTGGCCAATGAAGCTTCTTGTTATGTGGGTTTGGGGCTGAACTCTTTGCGCTCAGCGTTTGTGGTATGGTTTTTCATAGTACTAAAGCACGGGTGTCGACAGCTTTTGCATTGCACACGTTAGCCACTAGTTTTTCCAGGGGCAGGGCGCAGGAGGATAAAGCCAGACTTTGTCGTCCTATCCTCATATTTTGACAGCTGGCTTTTGGTCTATCAGAACTTGCGTACAGATTCCAGATCTTAAAACTGGATTGCGCTTTGTTTGCTTCTGCGCTTGGGGCAAGCAAAGGCTAAACATATTCACTACTTAAATTATGGGTAAAGAAATGAAGTTACAGAAAATAGAATGGAGAATAGAAAATGATTTCTAAAAGGCTTAATATATAATTTGATCTTTAAATAAAATTCTTGATTTGATACCCAGCTTTCATTTTGTCATGTCATTTGCTATACACATTAACTTCATTAATAATATACTGATGTAACAAAAAATAAGCAAATAAAATCATTACATATAGCGTATTTTCATTGGCCCATATCTGCTGCATCATCATTTTATCTAACACCGTTAGTCATTATTACAAAGTGCTTATCAGAAGCAAAGTTAAAATTTCAAATTGTTAATTTCTTTCTATAAATACACATCGTGAAAAATGATCTAATTCATGAGCCAATTTACAAATTCATCCCTTCTAAAACAAAACAAAGGCTAAAGTCCTGAAGACACATCAAAGTTGCGAAGAAGAAGGCTAAAAGTGGTAATGAGATGAGAGAGCTTGGATGTTACATTCCTTTGAATTGTTCTAACTTCTCTAAGCACAACTGGTAAACGATGCTTGTTGAGATAGATTGACCATCATCATAATATGGTTTCCAAAATATAATAATGAAAATGATCTTTTCTGTTATGAACATAGCAGATGCAGATGCTTAACAATAATGTCTAATTGATAAACAGGCCAGCTCAAACAAGTAATCAGCCATATTTATGCAATGCTTGTCCCTCTCAGGTGCATTTATGTGCATCATGAAGAGTTTTTTACACAAGTACTTGCCTCTTTGTTTTTTATGGGGAAGTGAAACTTCAAGACGGTTCTATCCTTTTGGCCTCTATGTATATATATTCTAGGCACTAGGCAGCCTATGACCCATGATAAATTCTACTGCAGCTTTCAACTTCTCTCACATGATGGTTTTGAACAGCTGATTTTTACCATATATGAAAGCAATTTGCTTTAACCATACATTTCCAGAAATGATGCCCTGCCATTGAAAAGGAGAGACCACAGCAACCATGTGGGTGCCCAGTAAAACGTTTTTCTCCCGTTGTCTTCAGGGAGAAAAGACGGATGTTTAACGTACCACCAGGTTCCTCATCCTCCTGAAATGGAAATCTGAAAAGTGCTGTTTCCTGGCATCTGGATTCTCAACATCCCAGATGTTGACATATTTGCTGGGCTATTATCATAGGCTATTCGTCCTATCTCTCAAGAGTGTGGAAACAATCTCCTTTTGAACTCAAAAAATGCTTGGCAGGTTATTGAACTTCTATTCTAAATCACCTAATCTGGCATCCAACCCCGTTCTTTTGGACTCAATCAATGAAAAAGCTTGGTCAGAATCTTATTGAAGCTGCGGAATCTCAAGAGGCCCGGCTAGTGGCTACAGACTGATAGCCACTGCTCTTTATCTTGCAAAGAATGAGTTCTCAAGGACCTACAGTTCCTTCGTTCCCAACCAGTGCTTTCATGGCGTCCTAGTAATCCGACTTTGCTGCTAGGGTTAATTTTAACTGTTTACTAACATATTAAACAGAGTATATACAGATGTACCCAAAAAAATTAAAGTAAATATATATGATTCTAAATTTCTTAGAACAAGACATGCATAGAAGGAATACTGCAACCAGCAGATCCAATTTATTTCCAAACTACATAAAATAAGGGCATTTATTTTCTTGGTATAATGCTTCTTTTGAATATATAGCTACCAAAATATGCATATTCAAATAAAAAATAATGGTTGAAACCAAGCAAATTTGGATCATGTAAAGCAATAAAAATTAACACTCACGTGTTACCGGCAAGGACCATGGTCCTCCAATTAGTAATATGGCCACTATGAGAACCGCAAGAAACTGAGCCGTTCACAAAGTCTAAATCGATTTCCAGGGATTATCCCCATAGTAGTAAGCAGTGCCAACCATAAGAGCAACTGTAGCCCCCTGAACTACCACCCTAGCTCTCATTAGCATCTGACCCAAGCGAGAATTGCCTTGTCTAAAACTGATTAACCCAGCACTGAGCACTCCGGCAGTCATAAGTGCACCTGTAAAGTACACACATGTCAAAGATGCTTAAACAAAAGTCCAAAACCATTATCATTTCTAAGTAAGAATATCTTAGCCGGAAAATGCTATAGCAGACGAAAGAAAGAAGCAAGCAATTAGATTCTGTACTTCAAATGCCTTACAACATCTATAACTCGTAGAAAATGCCTAAAATAATGTAAGCTATCAATCTGACAAGATAGTCAGTGAACTAGCCATGTGACGAGAAAACAAAAACCAACAAAAAATAGCATACAATATAAATGCTAAGAGAGGTTCAAAATGACACAAATAGAACCAAATTGAACAAACTGCTATATCAAGCTCTTAGCTTGCTAAATTCTTAAGAGGGATCATTGGGTCAAATAGAAATAGGTTTCTTCCAGGTTGGACAAAAGTTGGATTTAAGCACCCATCCCAGTGTCAACTTTCCAGGATGGTTAGACAATAAATTAATCAAATCCTTGTCAAAAGGCATGGAGTTTGTAATATAGAAAATGCGAGGTAGGATTGGTTGGGTTTCAGACATACCTAAGTCCTAACTACTAAACACAAACTCTTCACCTAATTTGATCAGAGTGACAGCATCTCAGTAGTTGACAGTCAACAAATAAACAAGCATCTTACCATTAAAGTTGTTAATGGAATTGGTGAATTAAATTCACAGTGAAGCAATGATCACTCTAATTGTTAATGGAAATTTTGGGGCAAATAGTCAAATAGCAAATACCAAAATATAGGATGCCCATTACTTCACGTTGACCACATAAACTTCTTGGTCAAAACTAGTGAAGAGAATTTTGAATTTCTCTAGAAAGAAGAAAACTGTTTGTATTTCGAATACTGAAATACTTTGGATATGCTCACAAGTTTGGCATAGTTTCATGCAATACTAGTTCTATTACAATGAAAGAAAAATGACATTGAGCCCAAGCAATTAATAAGTCCAATGAGCTAGAAACAAAAGATCAAGCAGAGTCTTCATGCATCCACAGAAAAGAACAAAGAGTAAAGCAATACAGTGCTCCAACTTTACTACAAAGAGCTACCATCCATGTAAGTCTCCTCTTACATCCTTCCAGGAGCAATATTCAGAAATTTATGACTACCATTTGGGTAGTAAACACGGGAAGTGCTCCGTTAAGCTCAAGTTATCAAATTGCTTGGTTGTCCATGCAAACTTAAGCAAAAGTGACAACTACTTTTGGAGTCAAATTAAAAGGAAACTCCAGGCATACATGGGATCAATCATCAGAACATTCCACATAGACTTGGCAGCAATTAACCTAGAAGTTTACTTCTCCTCAAAACTAATCAAAGCACTTAGCTGAAGCTCACACCAGTCTCTTCAAACTTTTTCACAATTGACCCCTATTTCATTTGAAAGGAATAAAGCGTTGGCAATGGGGCTCTGAAAATTCAAAAAGTAACAACTATTTTAAGTTTAAAGGGGAAAACCCATTTTTTATTAAAAAAATTACCTAATAAAATATTATATTACAATAAAAAATATAAAAATATTATTTTAACTGTAACATTTAAAAAATATATCTAAAATATAAAAAAATTCAAGATAATAACACCTTTTGTTCTTAAACTTAGAACGAAATTTTATTTTGACCTCCCATTTTTATATCTATTACGTGAGATGTCAACAAATATTATTCAAGTAGTGATAATTATTATTTATAGTCAATTTAGATTGTTTCATACATGAAAAAATAAAAATAAGATAATTTTAAATAATTAAAGATCAAATTAAAACTTAAAAAAATTAAAAACCAAAACAAAATTTATTTCAAAATTTAAAAATCACAAATGTTATAAACTCTAATAATTAATAATTACTATTAACAATCTAAAGTCTTGTTGATACATGTCATTATGAGTAATAATAAAATTATTACTTTTGTTTTTTTTTTTTTATAATTAATGATAATATAGCCTTATTATTTATATCTATAGATAGATGCATGAATCAATATCAATGAAACTAGAATTCTCCTTTATTGCTTGGTTCCAAAAAAATAAAAATAAATATTTTCAAAAGAAAAAAAGAAACGTAGTAATAAGTAATTAGATATATGGGGCTTAGTATTTCCAAAAAAAAAATAGTACTTAGAAATACTAATTAAGTCAATTAAAATACTATTTTGAGAATTTCTTTTAATTAATTCATCATTATACATTTTAAAAAAAGACAATATATTGATTTTTTTTTTTTCAAAATCACCTTATATAGGTTAACATGTTTTAATTAATTTAATTGCCACTAATTCATTAATTAATAAATAAATAAAACCTTGAATCCAACAAGTGCACATGAAGATATTACGACATTCACTCGGCACTCCCACCATATAAAAACTTTTCATTTTCCCTACTTTTTGTCTTTCCTCTCTTTCTTTCTCATTTTCTGTTCGTTTCTCGGGAATCTCTGTTTATAGGACGATCAATCGCACCCTCTTCCTGAAATCTTTTGGGTAAAAATACGTTTTGCTCAAACATAAGAAGCCCTGGTTTCATTTTTCGTTTTCTCGGTTTTCTTCTTTTTTCTATAAGTGATCAAACGGGGAACCAATTTGTTGGTCGTTACTTTTTTGTTTCTAAGATACCCTTTTACCCATAGATCTTAAATTAATTACCTTTTATTAGGATTGTATGTTTAAAAGGATCGCAAATCGATGAATTTGGTTATATGTTTTTTTGACGCTTCATTCCCTCTATTTCAAAGATAATGCCTTGTATTTCGTTTCTTGTGCATTAAGAGAGAACTTTTGAGAATGGGGATTCATGTAGTTTTTTTTTTTTTTTTAATTCTCCTCTTTTTCTTATGTCTACATTTCTCTGGGGAAATGGGGTGGTCTTTATTAAGGATCGGACATATTTATATTCTAGTGTTACAATGCAAATGTGTGAAATAAGAACTAATGCTTAAAATTTGTCAATTTAAATGTTGGACAAGTTAAGGCATTTTTATCTCCCTTTTTTTGGAAATTATCACAAAATTCTTTCTTTGAGCATTGTTAATTTTTCATTTTTAGACTGGAATTATGCATTGTAGGATTGTATATTCATTTATGAATCAATGCTAGAAGAATTGTAAAGTTGTTGATTCATGAGATGGATTTAATATTTATTTTGCTTAGCAGGGGGGTTTGTCATAAGCAGCAAGCAGCTGTTTGACGTTTTTGCCTTTTTTTATCTAGTGCAAGTTGTGAATTTTATGTACTAGATTTGCTCCAGTATTAATATCTGTGGAACTACTGGGAATTGAATTATGAACTTGAATCTTCTATCTTTAGATCTTTTGCATTATGGATTTGTTCCAGAAGAATACGAAGATGCTAAGGTTCGATCTTAGCATCTAGCTTGTGTGTGCATGAACAAAATTATCAAAATTTCCAAAACCTTACCACTTTGGTTCAGGGTCATGTGCTAATTCTAGTAACTAAAGAATCTATGAACCACATTTCAAACATTTACTAACTTTTTCGAACTCTTTTAGTATTAAAAATCATGAAGTAAAAAATTTTCACTTTCTAATGGTAACCTAGGCAGGAAATTTTCTTGTTAAGAGAGTGTGCTAAGACAATATTCCTTGTATGGGAATTTGAAATCAGTTTGAAAGGTTATCATAGTCTTTTTCTTCCAATTTTCTCATGTTCTTTATGTCAAATATGCTATATTGCTTGTGCATACTGGCTTTTAGTCGTCTGCCTCAGTATTTATAACTTAATGCGTATGGATGTTTTACTTGGATAATCAGATGTTATATGACCATTTGGCATGAAAAGTGCTCTTCAACATTGTACTTCGTTTAAATTCAACTTTGTTGAACTGATGTACTAGCTCCTGAAGTTATTGGCTCATATTTGATTTAAAGCTTTTGATGTATGTAGCAATTGTTTGAGATTTTATATTGATTTCAGGATGTTTTGAGTTAGCTACTTCCGAAAGACAAGACTAACAATAAGTTAAATTAGTTATATTTTAGAGGTTGTTATCCAGCATAACTGGGAATTGATTGATTAAACATAGACATTGAACAAAGACAGTACTTTAGTGGTCTTTCTAAGCTAAGAAATAATGCACTCTGATTGATTTGGGGATTCATTTAGTTACATAGACTATGTAGCATATTCAATACTCACTATCCTGCACCCAAAACACTAAGAAAACTTATCTTTCAATGGACTCTTACAAACAATGATGTGGTCTGTTTGTTATTAGTTCCTTCAATACATATCCTTGTTTTGTTCTGTGCATCAACATTTATTTGTTGTGCATTACATAAAATCTGAGGTTTCTTAGAATTCAGTATTTTGCTTTACCGTATTAAGTGTTTGGTTTATACAAGTTAATATGTGCCTTTTCTCCCATGTCAGATTACTTTGTCCTAAACATTTTTGTAAATAAGAACTTTTTAGATAATAGAAGTGATAAAATGTGAAGTTCATTTCTTAGATTTTATTTTTGCAGAAAATGCAAAAAATTAATTGTGATGTTGACATTTTGGCAGGTAGTCTGAATTTAGTCATATTGGCTTAAAATGTCTTCCCCAAGCAAGAGGAGAGAAATGGATGTAATGAAGTTGTAAGTTACTCTTACATATTTACATCTCCATATACAGTACTGTCTTAGCCTCACATGATTCGATCTCTTTCATTTTCATGTTGTTGAGGTTAGTTTATAATTGTTTTGCCTTCACTGAAATAATATGGTTTTGTCCAAGGTGTTTTGGGCACTATCCTTTGCATTTTCCTAAGGAGGTGCTGGGGGTTAGGGTGGCCTAGTCTCCCGGACCTAGGCACCTAGACCAGCTGACTTAATCACATAATAAGTGATTTGGATAAGTTGGAATGTTTTGAACCATAAGCCTAACAGAATAGCATCATGAAGATGTTTGTGGAAAATATGGCTACTCTAATTGAATTTGCAAATCGAAACATTTATTATCTGATAAGTATATTGCATGTGGAAATAAGTTAATAACGGGATTGGCAGACTGCAGAGTGTTGTAAATTGGTTCAGTTTGATTTTGTGTGTCTTATTTCTTATCTTCTTATTTTTGTAAAATTATGGGTTGTAAAAAGGCCTTTTGGTTGTTGTGGCAACTGTGAATGACGGAATCATTATTGATTTATGTTTGAAGATTATCATAAAGAAGTTTGTAGACTACATGATAAGTGCGTAAATTGCTTCTGCACCTGTTATTTGAAGTTAAGAGCAATGAGTAGATGGTTTATTTTAGTTAACACATTCTTCCTTGTTAGTTTTAAGAGGGAATAGAAATTTTACTTTGTAGTGAATCTGCAGATAGCTTTAATGTGGTTTTATCCGACAATGTTAGCACATTAGGTTCTTTGAGATGTGAGTTTCCCTCATTTCAAGCAGGACAGCTTAAGCAGAGTGATTATGAGAAACAGTTGCAAAATGAATGTTCCCTTAGGCTTTGCTTGGTAGAAACGATGGAATGAGGTGAGGATAGAATACTTGTTAATCTAATGGTTAAAGCTCATAACCACTTTCCTACTTTGAATCTTAACCATTAGATTAACAAGTTTTTTATCCTCAACCTTTCCATCCTCTCTACCAAGCAAAGCCTTAGAGAGAGAGAGAGAGAGAGAGAGGAAAAGGAGGGGGTTTAGGTTGGGACAGGACTATAACCTGAATGGGATTGCTAATCTGAATGACCATTATTCACTAAATACTTGTATGAAATTAAGCCATACATGAACATAAAGACATGTTAGTGGTTTTCAAAATTCACCTTTACTCCATGGTGAGTTTATTGCATTTGATAGCACGTCCTCTTGCTTACAACAATCCTAGAGTTGGATTTCCATTTTTTGTTGCCTGATTGGCTATTTTATGTCTTGGTACTTCTAATTTATTTAAATGATGATACTACTTTTCCTATTTCACTTTGTGAAAGCTTTATTGAATTTAGAAATGGTTGCCTCAATTTTGGATTGCTAATGAGTTTTCGATCTCTTTGACACTTCTCACCTATTCATTTTATCCAGGATGATGAGTGACTACAATGTGGAAACAATCAATGACGGACTCAACGAATTCAACATTGAATTTCATGGTCCCAAAGAAAGTATGCTTATACTAATCTGTTCAATATATGTTCTCTTGTTATGTGTTTGATATGATCTGTCTCTCATGGTATTCATATATTTATGTAAGCACCACCAGGCAGACCTAGTCACCTGGTTGTAAGTTGACTTCTGTATGGACTGTTCCATGGCACTATATGTACTTATAAATGTGGGAATAGATTGTTAAATTGATTAAATTCATACACCTAGGGGTTGTATCACTCCCACACACTACTCTCTCTCTCTCTCTCTCTCTCTCTCTTATATGGAGGGGGTTTTGATTTCGAAACTTTGTTTTGCTTGGAGAGTTTTCTTTCTCTACTATTCTTTATAGGTCTGCTGTAGCCTATAACCATTGTTTCCTTAAGAAGTTCATTTTTCCTATCCTTCTTTAATATCCTTAACCTCTTCTACTGCATTGCTTATAGGTCTGTATGAAGGTGGGGTTTGGAAAATCCGGGTTGAGCTTCCAGATGCTTATCCATACAAGTCTCCTTCTATTGGGTTTGTTAACAAGATATTCCACCCAAATGTTGATGAAATGTGAGCAATTTATAGTTTCAAAATTGACTCTTACAAACTGCAATATTGTCTGCTGTAGTTTTTTCTCTTGCCAATTTTCTTCAAAAACGTTCTCATTGTGCTGTAATCTATGAAGCACGGACATGGACACGTTATACAGTTATGACATGTATGGATACAGTGACATGGCAATTTTTAAAAAATGAAGACATGGATACGGTAGGACATGGCAGTAAAAAAATTTTTTTTTATATATTATAATCATCGGTTAAAAATATATGATAGATATTGGGCCGATTGTTAATAGATTTTTACTCTTGTGAAGAAAAACTGATGATAGACATAACAATAAAAGAACATATGGTGTCATTATTCATACGAGAATTGTCTTTTTTCTTCTTTTTCTTCTTCTTTGTTGTATCCGGCCAAGTGACATATATTTCGATGTGTCACAAACTTCAAAATGTCGGACATGGATATGACATGGGTATGCAAGGGGTTCAAAAGTGTCCGTGCTTCATAGGCTGTGATGGTTAGCCATCTACAATGTGGAATGGTTTGGCTAAGACAAATAGTTTAGAGGCTCTTGTATTAATTCTTAATAGACAGGATTCTGGTAACCATTTTGTATATCTGATTTTGCCATGCTGATGTTCAAAGTTTTGACACAACTTGATTTTTTTCCATATTGAATTAATTGCAGGTCTGGTTCTGTATGCTTGGATGTTATTAACCAATCATGGAGTCCAATGTTTGGTAAGCATTAGTTGACTGCCATTGCTTACTAATAAGCAGCAGACTATTCATTTTCTTGATTGGCACCTTTACAATGTCCCCTATACATTGTTTTTGCACTATTACACTTTCTTCTCCCACATATAAGTTAGTAGAATCTTCTTTCTTTCTGGAAATTTAAGGGGATCTGAGCTATATACAATTTTTTCCTGTTGCTGCAGATCTTTTAAATATTTTTGAAGTTTTTCTTCCACAGCTCTTGCTTTATCCAAACCCGTCAGACCCCCTAAATGGGGATGCAGCATCATTGATGATGAAGGATCGGAAGCAATATGATCAAAAAGTAAAAGGTGAAGATCTTGAATTGGTGTTCTCTTCTTTCTGTCCTTTCATGATTGCTCCAGTCAAATGACTCCAAAGAAATGTTGTACTCTGTGCATTTGAAAATTTTATGATTTGGTGGTAACTCAGGGTTATGCTCCTTTAACATAGGACACTCATCCATGAGATGCGTGTAAGAAAGAGGGTTATTTCCCAATAAATATTCATTTCCAGGCTGAGTGATGTAACTAGTGTCTTTTCTCTTTATGGAAACAGAATACTGTGAGCGATATGCAAAAAAAGAAAATATCACAAAGTCCACAGCTGACGAGGAGACTGATGATGATGAAGATATCACTGATGAAGAAACCGGATCTAGTGATGATGAAATTGCTGGACATGCAGATCCATAACAAACCTTTGGGGACCTGGCTTCTATGAATTAAACACCTGATAAAGGTGATGATGAGCCCTTTTGTTGCTCTCCTCAGCACAGAAAGATAGAAGTGATAAGTGAAGTTAGTGAATTCAAAATACTAGGGTTCACCAGGAAAAAGGATAGAACAATTGATACATCTATATAAAATATTTTTATTTAGCATGATCTGTTGTTTAGTTAGTTATATGATTTTCTAAATAGCTTGTATTTTCTTTCTCAATAGATCCTGTACTAGGATATAACGATGTTTGAATATATTGTATTGTATTGAATTGAATATACTGCGTGAGTCACGTTGTGAATGAAACAACTGAGATTCAGTCATTTCACTTATTTTTCTATAAAGGGATATGCTTTCAGCAGAAGATGGATTTGCATGATGCCAGTCAACAAACTGAAGCTTGCTAAAACTTCAATGGTTTCGGCTGAAAAATTCCATGCACACTTTCTGTCATTTGATTGCTGGATTTAGATCAATGACAAAGCTGCATTTGTGCTATACGTATCACATTAATGCTTTTGTAGAACCTGAAGAATTGGCTTGTGAGACGCCAACAAAGAAAGACATGGCATTTTAGAAATACTTGACTATTTCACTTTGCCGGCGGTCTATTTTAAAATGCCACTTTGGCCGTTTTGGCTCATTCCCGAGTCATTATTGACAGTCATTGCCGGAACATAACAAAACATCTTTGTAAATTCAGCCATTTGGCAAGCAAAAGTGGGCGGTGCTGCAATAGTTCCCGACTTGTTATTTTCGGTTTGTTCTACAACAATTCATGTTCAAGCAAACACCTTTTCGTAAAGGAGGCAAAAGCGGATCATCCTGCTCATAATTGCTAAACCTTGCTTGCTCATCGAAAATGAACCGAGTTTCCATCTGGGTATTACTCATTTCTATCTTTCTCCTCTTCCATGTGTCAAATTCAGAAGATGAAGATGTGAAGCGATCACTGGTGGGATTCATGGACAAACTTGCACCTGGAAATGTAGAGAGAAATCTAAGTTGGGGTTGGAACATGACTTCAGACCCCTGCAAAGACAAATGGGTGGGTGTATCCTGTGATTTGCAGTTGCAATCCGTCAAGAAAGTAGTTCTCGATGAGCTAAATCTCACTGGAGTTCTAGATATTGATTCTGTCTGTAGGGCAACTTCCCTTTCCGTACTTAGCCTGAGCAAAAACGATGTTGTTGGATTGATATCAGAAGAGATAGGGAATTGCAAAAGTTTGACACACCTGTATTTAAGTGGGAACCAATTATCCGGTGACCTTCCAGGGTCTCTGAAACAGTTGAGTAATTTGAAAAGGTTTGATATATCTGACAATAACTTTTCCGGAGTGGTTCCTGACTTCTCTCGAATTTCAGGCCTAATTACTTTCCTTGCTCAGAACAATCAGCTTAGTGGAGGGATACCAAATCTTGACTTCTCCAATTTGCTACAGTTCAATGTTTCTAACAACAACTTCAGTGGTCCAATTCCTGATGTCAAAGGGCGGTTCTCTGCTAACAGTTTTTCAGATAATCCTGGACTATGCGGAGAATTAGTCTCAAAGGCATGCCCACCGTCAGCACCAGCACCACCATCATCACAGAAATCTAAAGATTCATCGAGCAAGCAGTTTCTTATCTACTCTGGTTACGTAGTTCTTGGCCTTATTATTGTCCTATTAGTTGTCTTTAAATTAGTCAGCAAGAAGAAGCCAAAAGAAGAGAAAGTCAACGTTCCAGAAAAGGGTATGGAAGCAAACACTAGCAGCAACAACACTAGTAGTACACCCAACGAATCCAATACCACTAAGCATAAGTCAGAGTATTCAATAAGTTCTGTTGAGTCTGGAAAGGCCGTGTCATCGCTTGTAGTTCTTACGAGTCCAAAAGCCCAAGGTCTAAGATTTGAGGACCTGCTTCGAGCTCCGGCTGAATTGCTTGGAAAGGGGAAACATGGAAGCCTTTACAAGGTAATGCTTGATAATGGGGCGACAACCTTGGCTGTGAAGAGGATAAAGGACTGGAGTGTTACGAGTCATGACTTCAAAAGGAGAATGCTGAGGCTGGACCAGGCGAGGCATCCGAATGTGATGCCATCGGTTGCATTTTATTGCTCGGAGCAAGAGAAGCTCTTGGTATATGAATATCAACCAAATGGCAGTCTTTTCAGGATCCTCCTGGGTAATTTCATTCTTACAAACTCCACCCTAGATGGTGATTTTGAACCTTAAAATTTTCCATGGAAAATGCAAAAGATATTTTAGGCAAAGAAAGTAGACACACTAGTTTATGCTCACTTACAAGAACAACCAGGACAAAACTTCACATCACACTAGGAAACCTGGCTTTTCTTCCCTAGGCACCTTGATATATTTCATAATAGAAATGGAACTTGAAACAGTTTGACCTGATTCTATTTAGGGGTCTGCTGCTCAGCTACCCCCATCCTCTAGCCTTCATCGCACTGGAAAAGAGAACTTAATAAAACTATGCTTCCTTGTTGATTCAGGATCCCAGAATGGCCAGGCATTCGACTGGGGAAGCAGATTAAATGTTGCAGCTAGTGTTGCTGAGGCTTTGGCATTTATGCATGAGGAGCTTCGTGAAGATGGAATTGCTCATGGTAACCTGAAATCCACAAACATACTGTTCAACGAGAATATGGATCCCTGTATCAGTGAATATGGGCTAATGGTGTTCGAGAGTGAAGACCAATCATTTCATTCTCAATCCAACAGCTCCAAAAACAACGATATGGACCGTGGCCGAAGCTATGGAATCTTTAAAGCTGACATTAATGGTTTTGGGGTGGTTCTTCTTGAACTTCTAACGGGGAAACCGGTGCAGAATAATGGGTTAGATTTGGCTCGATGGGTGCATTCAGTAGTGAAAGAGGAATGGACTGTTGAAGTCTTTGACACGGCCTTAATTTTGGAGGGTGCAAGTGAAGAAAGGATGCTGAATCTCTTACAGATAGCACTGAAGTGCATGAATCCCAATCCTTATGAAAGGCCAAGCATGAATCAGGTTGCTATAATGATCAACACACTAAAAGATGAAGAAGACAGATCCAGCTCCGAACCATGATCCTAGACCAATACCATACAATTGACAAATATATTTGCTCTGGAAAATTAATTTTCCTGCTGATCCATAAATCCAACTTCAGGTTTTTTCTGTAATTTATTAATCCCTTTTTGCTTGTCTAATTCTCCTTCAAAATTTATGATGGCATGAAAATTAACTTTTGTCAATATATTCTACAAATTTTCATTAAGAGAAGTGATCATTCTCAGCATTAATGCCAAGTTTTCTGTTATTGTCTCCAATGCCAAGCTCAAACTGACCTGCATATGCATTTTATGACCAAATTCTGTTTTGCCAAACTAGATTGAAGGGCTGTTCATGATGCATGAGGCTCCTGCTATCCTGGGTCTATGCCAAAATGGATTATGACTACAAAACTTGTTTGGATTGGATTATCTCCAAAGGAGACTCTAAAGGTTTCCATTTTGTAAGTGATTATAGAATTGTGTGTGAAACATCTATAATGTGCTCTAAGTTAAATGTAACAAGACAATTCACTAAGGAGTAGGGTTTGAAAAAGGGCAGTGGCTTAAGTAACGAAGCCATTCTTAGTTCAAATATATTAAATTATAAAATAATAATAATAATAATAATAATATAATAGGTTTAGCATTACCCCATTATTAACCCCAATGGTTAAATTTGTTTTAATTTGGTTTGATTCACATTTAAAGAAAATTAAATTAAATTAAAGTCACTTAAATATTTCAATTAATAAATCTGTTTATTTGTTGGATTATATCTACTTAAAATTTAAAATATCTATTTAAGATTTAGGAAGTCTAAATTTTTTAAAAATATTAAAATATTTATATTTTTAAATATATTTTAAATTAAAATTAAATAAAAAATATTTTTATTAATTAAATAATAATCCAAGCCAAACAAAATCTAAACTTAAAAAATTTTATTCAAATCTCGATCTAAATCAAAGAATGGATGAATAACTTCACTCATGAATCTAGTAAGAAATAAGCTCCAATGACTACAAAGTGAAGCATTATGTTTGTGTATTATTTTTCAAAGATTTGCTATTTAAATGTATAATTCTATTGTTACATAAATTTAAGTAAAAAATCAATTATGTTACTCGACCGACAACCTGGTGATTGAACTGTTAGCCAAATGACCTCACACCTTTTATAAATCTTTTGTCGCCAGATTTAATAACTACTAGTAAAATGTTCCTCGCTTTGCTACGGTAAGTATCAATATGTTTTATTTTTAAAAGTATAAATCAATAAAATTTTGTAATTAGTAAAATTTTAAAAAAAAGTATTTCAAATTAAAATTTTTTAAAAATATAATATTTATTTTAAATTCTTCTTTTTCGTTATCTTTCTCATTTTCTTTTATAAGTTTTTTTTTCTTTCATCTAAAAATTCAAAAAAAAATTTTCTTTCATCTAAAAATTCAAAATTTTTTTTATCTTATGTTAAAGATATAAATTAATAGAACTAATATAAATATTAGATAACATTTTAGTTTTTACAAAAAAAAATGTTAAAAAAATATTTAAAATAAAATCTAAAAAAGATAAAAATTAAATTTATACAATAAATTAAAAACTATACAAAATATCTCAAATTATATTGGTTTAACTAATTAATATTTATTCTCAAAAGTCTAAAAACCTAAAGCCCATTTAACTATGTAATATAAAAAATATCCACACAACTCAAAAATATTCCAAATGCAGTTGTCAATTAGATAAACTAAGTAGACGAGGATTGGTTGCTTGTATTAAGGTAATACCAAATACAAGCAATCTATAGTTCAAATATAAAATCAAAGTATTCTAACCGATATTCAAGACTAAGTGCCCTCTTAGCATGACGTCGAGCTAGTGGCCTGACTTTTATGAAAATATGTCTTTCACTATGATAGTCTATTTCAATATTTCTTGGTATAGTAACTTTTTTTTTTGTTTAAGTGGATCAATGGACTGTTTGACAATTCTACAAGGCTTTCTGATGTAGAAGATCCACAATACTGTGTATTGCAGAGCATACTATCTTGTATCCTTACAAACTATGATATGAAAGACTAAATCTAATTTTAAACCTAGCAACTGAAGAAAGAGGAAGGAATCACCAAAAGAGAGAAAAGGTTTTAGAAGAACATATTTATATAGAAGGTTTTCTTACAAAGAAGCTTCCCCAATAAGGAAACTTCTAACATTAAAAACTTGACGTCTCTAAGAAGGAGTTACAAACTTATATAAGAAGGAAAAGCAAACAAATAGTAAATAAATAATTACATTGAGACCATGACTTAACTAAAGCAACTTTAGTAAAGTGTCTTTAATAAAGTAAAGGTAAGATTCATTTTTCTTTATCAAAGTAGCTTTAATAAAGTATACTTGACTTGAAAATAACTTAAAGCATGACTTGAAATAAAGCATCATAATACATAAAGTTGACATAAAATTGATGTTGACGAAAGCAAAGCTTGAGTTGATGTGTCAGCACTAAACTTATCTTGTAGTTTTTGAAGCAATCCGTAAAGCATCTTAAAATCATCACTGATAATTATACACAAATTTGGATTGGAATAGGAAATTTCTGACTAGATCATCATCACTTGAAGAAATGCTGGGTATGTTGTGAAGAGAGTTTCAAATGTGAGTTATCTACACTTGGAGAGAAATCATAACCTATATTTTCTAACCATTGGTCTAGGTTAAAATCTTTATACGAATCTTGTGATTCTTGCCATATCGGAGAAGTCCAATAAAGGTTCCAATCTATTGGTCCAATATGGTCAAGTTCAAATCTTATTCTTTTAAGAAGAGGTTATTTCCCTGTACCATCAAATCTTATTTTATAAATCTTTTTATTAATCTTAAGCTGATAATTTTATTTTCGAAGGGTAATTTTCTCAAGGAATATCATCTTGGAGTTCTAGCCAAATCTGACTTAGAATTTTATGGTTCATTTCATATATCTGTCCTTAAATTTTTATGTATTCAGTAGGGTGGCCAAATAAAAAATCTAACAATGAATAACCTTATAAGCTATAAATTATCGTGTAAGAAAAATACTGTAGTTCATTTGTCAAATAACTGTAAGATTTATGAATAAAATAATGTGAAGATCAGGAAAAACTTTAGTGTATCTCTCATAGATTTCTATCCATTATATCCATATAATAATGGGTTTGAACAACTGAAAATTTTTTTTGAAGTGTTAGTGACTATGGTCCATTTAATTTCTTTTTGGATTAATAGTTGACTAGTGAAAAGTGTGGAGTAGTCTTTTGAGCTTTTTGAGTGAAAATTCTATAGCAATATAGTAAAGGTGACAGAGGTACCATAAGAAACAAACAATTTTTTTTGAATCGAAACAGGTTAAAGCATCTGAAGGGATGAATGAAAGGATAATCTAAGTGTATTCCAAGGGATTGAATGAAAGTATCTCCAAATCTTCGAAGTGTCTTGATTGGTATTTGAACATGAAGTATTGGGTTTTTTGGTCAAGGGATTTGTTTGCAATCAATATAGGCAATTTTGGAGGGAGTTGGTCATCTGAAAGGTTGAAAAATTCATTAGAAAAGTCAAATTCATCACCAGGGTGAGGTTTTATTAAAGGATGACTAAAGGGGCTTTTTGAGGACGAGGTTTGAGAGGAAAAATATAAGGGATTCATCATTGCTATCAAAAGAATGATCTCCAAAAAACTTGAAAGAAGTCTAAAAGAAGGTCTAGATAACATATTTGAGAAAATATTATCTTTTTTTTATATATATATGTGCTATGATAAAGGAGTACTTGGAAAACTATTAGGATAATATGAGTAACTGTGCATTTGACATATATTTTTTTATTGAAATTAAGCATCTGATCAAAAGCTAACATGTCTGGTTTCATGAGAAAATGGTATTCAATAAGATGAAATTCAAATATTTGGATTCTATATTTTACTGCTAAAATATCTTTTAGTGTAGAGTGATAACGAATCTTTGAATCTATCGCTTTTATATTCACATATCTATCTGTCTCCATATTTTTTTTCTAGGAGAATCGAAAACCAATATTTGTTACTTGTGTCTGTCTGTAAAATTATTTTTACCATTAGAGAGAATCTTTAAAGTTTGAAAATGACTACAATTTTATCTTCATCATATTTACTGATTGTGTCTGCTTTTGGAACCACTTGAAAGGTTCTTTTTTTAACATTTATATGAAATGATAAGTTATCTGAGCAAGATTAGAAAGAAATTCACTCATGTAATTAACTATACCGAGAAATTATTGCACTTGTCTCTTACAGAGATTTACATTAGAAAAATCTTTAAATGTCTTAACAATATGAGATTGAGCAATGTACTGTCCAGATTTTAAATGCATATTTAGAAAATTAATTTTTGAGGCACCAATGATCATTTTTTTTCTCTGAAAACATTATCTCATACTATTTGACGATCATTTAGAGCTTATCTAATAATTATGCATATGATATGACATTTGAAGAGAAAAAAAGAATATCATCAATGTAGATGAGTGCATGTTCAAAAGTCAAGACAAAAATCTTTGTCATCGCTTTCTAAAATAATGAAGGAGTGACTTTTAGACAAAAGGCATAACTGTCCACTAGAAATGGCGTTGAGGGATACAAAATGACATTTTGTATCTATTATATAAATGTATACCTAATTACCAAAATCCTATCTTGAGATCAAACTTTGAAAATACTTTAACTTGTGATAGGTTTGCAAACAATACTCTTCTGTTGGGAAGAGAAAACTTATCATCTGCAAAAAAAATATTAAGAAGCTTGTAATTGATAACCAATCTTAATTTTTCTTGAACTTGTTATGATCTTTTGTTGACATAAAACGCTTCATATGTTAATGAAAAAGAAGTTGGTTTAATTAATCCTTGAGCTTGGAGCTGTGAACATTCTTCAATAACTAACTTCAAATGTTTTAGGTTCATGCCTGAATGACTAACTTTTGTAGGATTAACATTTTCATCTTTCTTGAAGGGAAGGGTAATGAAAAATTTTGGGTTTTGCCAAAGTGGGTTTTTGCATTTTTGTAAAAATTTTGAATGATTGTTTGCACATAAAATCTAAATAAACTTTTCTTGAATTTTTTGAACAAATTTGTTTGGATTGTCATTTTGAAGAGGTTTGGAAGGTTTTTTCAAGGCTGAAAATAACTTTTAAACTTGATACCTTTTTCATTGAGTCTTAAACCTTGT